CTTTGTAGTGGATGAACAAAAACATAAATAGCTGGAAACAGTTTCAAAAATCTATAGATTATTATAACAAAAATACGCGCAAAATTAAGACGAACGGTTGGTAGGCAATTTTTGGCTGGCAAGCCAATTTCGCCTACCAACCGTTTGTCTCGATTTAGGCACCTGATTAGGCCATTTTTCTCAGGTTTTGAGCAAGGACGATGGAGCTTCACCTTCCACATCTAATGAACCATTGTCATCAAGGAGCTTGCGCAGCACTTCAACGAAACAGGAATCATCCTCAACTACAGAGCAATCCGTGCCAACAAAGGTAATCTGAGTAAATAGTCACAGTTGACTTTGCTAGTGTATTTAAGATAGTGTTGCAGAAATCCCCAAGAAAACGGACATCTCAACTTGCCAACGGTGACAGTGCAGAAACGAATCATGATTCCCCCAGACAAAATGGAAAGGTTGGGAAAAATATTATAAAATTCAAATATTGCATTGATTAGTTCTATATGCTCAGATATTACTAAATTACATATGCTATCCGTTTCAAGGGTCCGACTGTTCCACCGAAGAAGGAGCACTCAACTCTTAGCGACTTTCCCAACGGCATTGACTTCTCTCCAATAACAAGAAGTGGATTAAGGGTGTGTCTACCGTAACGTGTTTCTGAAAACTTTTGAAATCAGCTTTTAATAGTTGCAGATCTCATCTAGAGGGAAGGCGCGCACTGTCCCCATTTCTACCTCCACGCCGATGCCCGCTATACAAAGTCCCTCCAAAGCACAAAGGAAACGAGCTAAGCGAGAATCTACTTCACCGTTAAACACTGATGATCTCGAGCAACCCCTTCGCAAAAATCCACTCGATGCCAAAAAGTAAGTTTGTTCGATTATTTTTTAGACTCTTTCTCATCTGTACGTCTAGGTCGCGGACGCGTTCAAAAGAGTCGAACACTTCAAGTAGATCGCCTGTCAAAGCCAAGACTGCACCGAAGCCGTCACCAGGTTCGACGAGAAGTGGAAGGTTACGAGGGAAAGGCAAATAACCCGGTCTTATATATGTGTTATGTATGCACAATGAAGTATTGCCATATTGAAAACACTATTTTTGATGTGTAACGGATGTTCCGAAAATACTTGAGCGTGAAATGTTCATTTCATAATCCACCCGTTTTTACAAAATACATCATAGCGAATTTATGCCTAAACATTTACAAATGCTAGTAGTTTGGAGTAGTGTAGCATGTCTATGAGAAACTTATCACTTAGACTTGCTTTGCTGAACAGGAAGGTCAGTTTTAGACTTAGCTCCTCCAGCTAAGCGCTCCTTTTTCAATACGGGATCCTCTATAACATGCAAGTAGTTGTGATTCAGGAAACGGGCGAGCTGAAAAAAATGACAATATAAGTATTTGATAGAATGTACCGTAAATATTAAAGAGCGAACCTGTGCTGACTGTGCCGATAAGTTCGTGAAGTGACACGCGAAAAGCAGAAGATTTCGTGGTTGAACGTGCCATGCAAACCGCATGAACACTGACGAATACATGCACAGGGCTACTGTCATGTTACCAGAGATCATATCGGGATTTTTCTGAAGCATTCCGTAGTTGTAAGTGGTAGTTGTTCCAATCCACAACACACCTTCAGATCGGCTATTGCTGCGAGTGGAATGCCCCAGTTAGCAACGGGTCCCCAGAAATGTGTCGACATGAAGTAGTTGGCCCATTCTTTGGCGCTATACCGGCGAAAGTAACCGGTAACTGCTGAGGCAACTTTCGCCATATCTGGAAAACACAATGCTCAGCTTGGATTCACGAACGAACGATGATTTGTAGCGAAATGATTCGACACGGGAGCAGATGTAAAATACGTTCTGGAGCGAAATATCAAGAACAATTCACAAGAATCAAACCAGCATGCCTTAGTGATGAACAAGGCGGCCGCAAAGGTGAATGAAGGAACGAAATGGCATGATACCGACGGTCTACGAACGAAGTGTTTTGTGAAGGATAACTGATAAGATAGATGATCAGGCAAAAACCTTCGTGAGATAGGAATGCATTTCTTCTAGCACGGAAGGAAGGATAAAACGTGTAGAATCACTCCGCAACTGAAGTATTTCCTAAACAGCTTTTCAAGATTCTGGCACAGTTGGTAAAGTATCTCCATAAAAACCGCTCTTCGACGCTACTGATGCGGAAGAAGTAGCGAGACTCATGTTTAATGGAAATTAGAAAAGGTGCTATTTCAACGACAAATCGGATCATTCCCACGTGCTCGGTATATGCACCATGGACATGTGAAACAGGCAAGCAGTACATTCTATCCCCCTCCAGTGGAAATGTTTTGAATAAAGTTAGGTACAGCTTCAGGTAGGATATCAGGTAGAAACGGTTGAAATAGGACAGTGACGTAGATGGAAATCGGTGCGATACGGGGTTGAGGACGAGGGAAAGGTCATTTTGACTAATTTCTCCGGCACATGGCTCATCCTGCTGAGGCAGTATATCAATGATGCGTAGGGTGAATATCGCTCGAGGATTCCTCAACGGCACGTCGAGGATTTTCGCCTGATCAGTTACGCTCTCCCGCGCGGACATTCACACTCGCCATGCGCGAGCCGTCTGTGCTCTCCGCGGCATGGTCCAGGTTCCCCGACCAATATTCACCCTAGCCCATAAGACAAGGTGGACCTGATCGGAGACTAGAATTCACGCTGGTGTAGTTCGAGCAGCTATGCAAGTATTGCTCTCTTGCACACACATAGGTATGCATAGGAAAAAGGTAGAGCTATTTCAAGGTCAAGTGAACCATTGCATGTTAACACTAATCATAGAAAATCTGAAATTAGAGAAATTAGTTTGAAAAAATTAATTCTGACGATGGAACTTCCTACTGAGAGCTTTTTTTGTTAATACAAATATCTGAGATCATAAGTGAAACGGTCATGGTTATCTTGTTGTAAACAAATAATCAGCGCATTATTTATGAACAACGACAACGCGGAATCTGGGCTAAGTCTGGAAGTGAACTCTATCATTTCACAAGCTCAACATTTTTGGGTGACGGTGATCTCGCCATGTACAAGCATTGTCGGCACCAGCTGTAAGGGGAAGTTAGTTATCATAGCTGCGTTCGACTGATTCTCTTAGTAACTGAGAACTCCAGCTTAACGGATACGCAGTAATAAGGACTAGTCACCTTGGAGTGCTGAAATGTGTGGCTTACTAGCTGATGAATTATAAGGCTTAGCTTTGGGATGCACAGACAAGTAGTAGAAATTAGGAAACGCATGACTGGTCATAGTTGAGCGGTATTTTCTGGGAAAGCAATTACCGCAGTCATGCATGCAACCGCTATATCGACTGGACAGCGCAGGCTAGAGTAGAAATCACGCCACCGGCCACGTCCATTAGCGCTGCGAGCGTTGATAGGTGTTTGTTCTGAAGTTGGTTCCGCGTATCTTATCGCCATTTCAACTAAGGATTATCACCAATAGCAGTCCATAGCAGTAAGAAAGGTGTCATTTACAGTCTCTTACAAACAGCTTAATGAACCCTCTAGAGGTAACCCTCCCCTCCAGCAAACGACAGATGCAAGCTAACAAAGCGGAACAAATGCTAGCTCTGACCGTTGACCTAGTGATCGAGATGAGTAATTTTTCGCACAATTCTTTGTATACTTAAAGGAGCGCATTCAATTGCATCTACAAATTCTGGGCGGGAATAGAATGCATAGTGCGTCCTGTAGAGGTTAATAAAGGATTGCGTTTCATCTCTGATTAGTTGATCAGTCATCCATGTACCTCCCAGAAAAACAAAGGTAAACTGTGAAAGGTATAACCTATATTGGCGAGTAAATATGATCAGCGAGCACTCATACCCTGAGACTATAGGTCACAGGGCCACAGAACTCCCTCACTCCTCAGGGACACACCACAGCCTAGTTATCCCACATCACAACGCACACGCATAACCACATCACATATTAATCACAAGGCCCCTTAGTTGCATTGGATCATGCCTTGGAAAATTGCTCTGTTAAGGTGAATTCATAACATTCCCTCTCACCTCTATAAATCCTCACTATTAGTGCTCTCATTTTCAAAAAGCCAGAAAGTTTCAGAATGGATCCTATGCTCCCATCTCCGAATCGTGGTCGCAGTCAAGGGCAACGCTCACCATGGAGAGGTGGACAGAGTTGGAGAGGTAAAATTACAATAATTTCCTAGTCATGAATGTAATATGAGAATGGAAAGAGGACTCTGAAGGGGAAAAAATGACGTCACTGGCGCATGCATGCGTGATGTATGTTGTTTCATTTGCGAAGTTTTTCTTTCTTAATGGTCCTAAGATAAAATTTCCTTCTGGGCGTTGTTTGTACCGATTTGATTTCTACCTTCCTAGGTTGATCGAATAATACCAGGCTCGTAGATATAAAAGCTATCCTAATCGGAGCGATTTTAAATGAGTCATGTCCTAGTAGGACTGATGAACGACAAAGGATCTATCCTGCTTGCTGGATATTAAGCGTTAAGCGTTGCTTCAATAAGTTGGGACATCTCTTAGTATTCCTTTGTCCGAACGCCTTCAGAATTTAAATGTTTCATTACACAAAGATGCACCGGAAGCTCATTCCAAAAGATCCCAAGATGACTCCAAAAAACAAAATAAATCCAAAAGAAGTTCTTTGGAGATGGAGCTAGGTGCCTCTTTGTGTAATGCAACATTTGAACGTTTGGAATACTTTAGCATAAAATGGAGCACTAAAACAGTCCAGAACTTGTTGTATGTTAGCGTTTCAGTCAACCTTCGACGAAATGTAAAGTAGCATGTTCAGTGGTTTAAAAAAACTGGCGAGTACATCGAGTATTCGCTAAGAGCATTTCCTGATGAGGACGCAATTTCGTCATCCTCGAATGATGGGCCCAAATCTCAGAAAAGTAACTGAAAAGATATTTCGTGTACATATCTCGACATCTGACGAAGCCACAATCTTTTGTGATCTGCAGACGTCACCTCCATCCTTTTCTTTTTTTCCTTACAACGTTTAGTACCTGACTAGTTTAGTTTGAAAAATATACCAGCCGCTATTTGCAATGTGTTAAGGATCGAGCACGAATGAACGTCAGCAATATCCGAGTCCATACCAAGACGTTCGCAGTAACCCTAATGGTTGGTCCGATCCGCGGTACTCGTTCAATCGTGGCAATCAACAGTCCAACAGACGTTTCAACAGACAATCCTTCGGTACTCCTCGTGGCCATGCTCCAGGATCCTACAATAAAAGACCGTTTGGACAACAAACACAGGTAATTACAAATTTCGTTCATATGGGAAATCTTGATCAATGAGCTGCTATTATATTATCGGCGCCATGGGAACTGAAACTGTAACTACTAAAAATGAGCTTGATCTTGTAAGTTTCCCCGGCCAAATTACTACTGTATAGCGCAATCACTGCACTCACACGCTAAGCCCCTTTCCACGATGCTTCTTATTCCTTACACTTCGTATATCTCCATTTGTTTTGCGTTGCCTTCGTTCCCACACGTCTTGCTTTTCACAATAAAACATCCCGAAAGTATGCCATTTCTAGCAATCGATCCATAGCATAGAAAGAATTGAGGGACCTTATGGACGAGAATGTCATTAACCTGAATGTACAGTAATGCCATATGACAGTCCTCCTTAAAAACCAGTATTAATTTCACTCCTTAAATCATGGATATGGATATCGATCACATAATCACGCATAATAAATTCCTCCTTCTGAAGATGTATTCTTATAACATGGCAGGGATTGCGAACTTGCTAGTGATAGAAGACGAGTGTGGAGACGTTATTAGGTCACATAGATGAATTTGTAATACATCTACCAGTCAAGGGAAAATTGGTGGCAAAGTATAAAAGGACCGAAGCCGGAGAACTCCAGAAGCTACCAAGCTGCTCAGAGCCAATTCAGTGTGACTCGTGCATCGCGTTTGAGTGCGCGACACGTGGCCTACCGTGTAGTCTTTTTGGAGGCATCACCTTTTTTCCCATTGTCTAAAAGCCACTTGAACTCAGTCCTCTGAAAATCGTCGATACGTTGCTTTGTTTGTGCTACCTCGCGTAAATAGGCTATAGCTTTACCCATTTGACGTGCTACATGAGATGTGGCCCACATTTCCCGCTCACCTCCCCCCTTACCAGAAACTTCATTCAGGTCGTGCCCGCTTTTTGAGAACCGCTTTGTTAATGATGCAGGTTACGGCGGCCCTCTATATGCTGAAAAAGGTGTTAAAAAAGCTCAGGCGCCACCCTTTCCAGCGGGTTTTGCTTTGAGACATCCTGCGAGCGTCAATCGAGAATGCAAAACTTTGTCACCACAGGGAATCGAACCATGAACCAATTTCTATTTCAGAAGCACATCCCATATTCCCTGCACGTGTCCCTATATAATGCAGAAATCTTCCGCCTGTACCATTCGAAACTGTAGTAGACGCAATCCTCAGATCGCATGCACCTGGACCTTTCCAGTAGAAAACATAAAATTCAACTAGTCATTTAATCCTTACTCATGACACGAGTCTATCTTGTATTTTACAGCAGAAATAAAATTAAATCCCGATTTTGACGATGTAGTGGTACCCCATGAGAATGCGCAAGTTTTTTTAAATTAAAGATTAGTTTAAAATACAACACTTACGATTTTAGGAGGTGGATATCCGTGCTTATGTGATTCCAGCAATGACAGGCAATCCCTGGAAACACCTGGAGGAACAACGGCGCACCGAAGGTAATCGATGTGATTAGTACAATGTCATACAACTAATATGATAAACATTTGTCGCCTTTCATGTACATCAAATACGTACGTTAATAGCGGTTACAATCTATGAGACTCCTACGAGAAATTTGTCAGATTTAGAAAGGTGATGACTTTCTCGTTTACAATTCGTGTCTCTTTATAACTTTTATGAAATTTAATAAACAACATCATTCCCAATAAATGCGTTACTCGTGAATAAGTACAAACGTAATAGACACAAGCAAATCCGGCTGACATCAAAAACACACAAAATAGGGTTAGATGCCGATAGACCGACCAGTGAGAGGAACTCGTCAGCAACCATCTGAAATAAATCACATTAATGATAACGTTCACTAATCGCCTATTTGAATCAAATCAAGTATCTTTCTGGAATAATGTCAAGGAACATGTGCTACGATCTGGTGAGTTTCACCCATCGACAAGACTTCCATTTGTCCATCCTCATACGGAATAAGCCATCAAATTTAATAGTTTTTGGTCGGACTGGCAGCCCATCTGTCAGCCCAAGAAATGCCACTTGGCATGAAAACCAATACTAACGGTATCAATATTAATGAAGCAGTGATTACAATTACACCCTTATTTACAAGACATTTAGCTAATGCTTCTCCACAAACCCCATAGATTTCAACTAGGGAGGTCGACAGAAAGAAGAAATACAAATTAGTTCTCATTTGATGGAGGGTTTTCGAGCTAAAAACGGACAAAATACGAGAAAGAAGAAGAACACACAACGCTCTAATAAACAAGCGTCAACGTGATTTGAAAAATGGGCAAATAGAGACTGATAAAAGGAAAGAAAAGGAAAGGAAGGAAAATCATTCTAATATCAGCGTCTAAGTTGTAAAATAGAGAAAGAAATATTTTCCGGAGAGAACGGATTCTTTCTTTGATGGGACGATAGGTTCACCTTCAAGTTGTAACGTTTTCAAGAGAGCTTATTACCACTACTCAGATGTGGACCGCTACACCCAACAACGCGAGAGCCGCTTAGGGACCTTCCCTAACTTGTATTAAGCTTGTAAGCATATAATATTGGTACATTTCGTAAAGACCCAAGTACATCGCCCTTCAACACAGCAGCGCGTTTGCAGGCAAAATGGATTTGGGAATGAGGCGATTTAGTCGCCCAATTTTCGCACCTTCTTGTATGTCAGAGCTGGTTAAAATTGTCTTAGTAAAAAAGCAATTAACATATTAGAATTCATAGAGAAAAAACCAATTCCGATCACCTACAATATGACCATGTCCCAAATCCTTCATATGAATTTAATTTCACATGGGCCGAAATGGGTGTAGTGACAAGTGACACCGTTTACTACGCACACTGTTCGGGTGATCGTAGGTCGCCCATGTGGGGCGGTATTCAATCCTTCCCCCAGGGGGATATATCCCCCTCCTCTGATTCAATCCTCTGGGGGGACAAAAAAGGGTTGCGTCATAGGACCTAGCATACCTCTGTGTTTCTACCTGCCAGACAGTTAGAGCAGCGCTACTACCCTCCACTGATGAAGCACTCTTTCCCCTGAGGGGTCGCGCTGCTCTAACAGGTAGAAACACAGAGGTATGCTAGGTCCTATGACGCAACCCTTTTTTGTCCCCCCAGAGGATTGAATCAGAGTAGGGGGTGCACTATTACAACCCCGGTGAGGGTGAGATGGGTCAATATTTTTTGCTGGAACTTCTCCAATGGGGGTATCGAGGCTCGTGATCCATTTTTGGCGCTGGCGCAAAAGCTCTGACACCTAAAGCGCCTAAGATTAACTTAGTGGAGGGAGATGAGACTTTCGAAGTGGGGAAATCACGCACGGTAAGGCAGAAGCTGAAAGGTATGGGACCACAGGGTGGGTGGCTTAGTCGCTTCGGAGCCCTCCCTTCTCCAAGGGCTTAGTCCTGATCGCGAACTAATTAGTGAGAGGGCCAGACGTACAGGAAATAGGCGCCGAAAACGGCCGACGTATAAACATGTGTCGTACTCGTAACCAGTCGTATAACTTCGTATAATGTATGCTATACGCTACCGTTGGCGCGAAATTTGGCGCCAGCGCCAAAAATTTGGAATGTCATATTCGTCATCAGGATACCCACACTACCACCCTGCAGACAGTTTTTAGCTGAAGAAACTTTTCTCGCCCGTACTGGGGTTGTAATAGTTGCAATTGAGCAAGGAAATTCAGTGAGGATAAGTTCCGATTTCGACTTCGGCCACCGCAGGTGTTGAAAAAAAAAAAAAAAACTATGAAGGGCGTTCACAACTGAACAAGAATCATGGCGGAAACAAAATTACTCAACGACCTTAATTGTCTCCATAGCTTGACACAGTCGCGCAATAAAACTTGTTGCAGCATAGCCTTCCTCTGGCCATTAAAGAAAACAATAAATTTGTGCAAAGCTAGCTCCAGTACCTGGACTAGCTGTCGAAATGCTGAGATTTTAATGTGAACTAGATCAAAATGAAACAGTAAGGCGGCCTTGGGGTTTTGCCATTGATACGAACGTACAAACGCTAGGTGGTGCTGTGGAAGTCAAGAATGAACGAAAACCACCTGCTCCATAATGGGCATCACAAATATCGCCGTGCCTCTTATTGTAAGCGCTCTGAACCAATCACCAGGAAGAATAAAGAATATAAGTTTGAGGAACGCAAAAAGTGAGACGGAATAGAGATAGCAGCATATGGCTCAGGACCATTCAATGAACATTAAATATGGACAGGCTTGCAAGCCTCGAACACTAACAAAGAAGTGAATCCAAACAAAAACGATGTATTACGTGGAAAATACATGTTTTCACTGCGTAAACGACCCATGCGACTGTTGTGAGAGAGAGGAGATATCAGCGTGCGAATTTTCCAACGAAAACAAGAAGTCGAACAAAACTTATTGCAAGCTGTAAGAAGTCCGACTATACGTACTATTAAATCTAGGCCCAAATACCGTTGTAAACTCAGCGCATCCAAAGGTCACAGCACGAGACCGATTTCAGATACGCACCTCCTCCCCCTTCCCCTTTTCGACCTAGTATGGCCGATGTTATAGACAGTATGTATCGTTGAACATGGTACCCTTTGTCTACCCCGTCTTCACCCCTACCCACAAAACCCTTGAAAATGTGGTAAGCATGAAGAAACTCAATATGCACGTGCAATGTTATTGTTTGAATTTCGCCCGCTCTCTCCTTTGAAGAGAAAAATCCCCTCCTCTCTATCGCTTCTAAGGCGGAGGTGTAGCAAGGGGAGTACGCGCTGCTGACGATTTCCCTGGTACGTCCATTATCCAAAAACATGGGTCCTGCGCCAAACTAGGCCGCCGGCAGGCCTTCATCTCCTCTGAGTTGTGGCAGTGTCTTGGCCGCACCCAACGCAATTGTATGGGACAGATAACACTCAAAATCCCGCATCAAGTCTGAATTGATGCAAGATGCGTGGCACATCACAAAAGAACTAATCTACGCCGAATAACCCCACCTTGCCAAATCATAACACTTCCCCGCCCTCTGACCTGGCCAAATGAAAGATTGGCCGTGAGTGCAGCTTGATATTGTTCGAGAATAATCCCATTCAGCACAATCTGCGAAGTAATGCAGAAAAAAGAATGCGAATTAATCTCGGAATCAAATACATGTGCCCATTATGAGGATCGTCTTCGTCAAAACCCAGAGATTGTTCAGCCGTTTCGATAATGTGTAAACCAGGGTACTTTGCAGCATCACAATGCGTTTAGGTCAATGTAATGAAAGGAGAATAAAAATATGATAGGAAATCTATTTCACGAACTCTCAGAACATAATGCCGTATAAATGTTAACTTCTAGCTTCTACGACAGCCACGAATGAAGATGGTGTCGCAAGTTGCAATGCAGAACTTATTGAACCACATCGCACAAGTGGAATTTAATTGAACGTAACAATGACAAATCAATCAATCACAAGCACATTTCCGAATAGGTAGTACTGCGTCGATTAAGGAAGACAGCGTTATTTCAGGAAGAACTCTGGTCCGTTTGCACATTACCTTATTATCACATGAACATAGTGTCTTTGTCATCTATAGGGAGGTGGTTGTGGATGATGTGTGACACCTCGATAGACACTAGAATTCTCAATGGGATTAGCAGTTGTAGGCATCTGCTGTAGAACATTTCCAGGATGTCCAGGAACGAAATTGATTGACGACGAACCTCTACCTAAATCAAGCTCCTAAAATTCACGTGAATAAAATGATAGAATTCGTGCGAATAATGGCATACGAGAAATAAGATAAAGTTTAACAAAATGAAAGAAAAGCTTCCAAATGTTAGTCACGTTACTAAAATATGTTCTTGAAAAAAAAATAGAAAATGGTGAAACGTACAGACAAGAACCGCTAGAAATGACAGCAAAAATTATACCCTACCAATATGTGCTCTGTTCGACAGGACATCAAGCAATCTCTCCTTTATCGGACGCGAATCACCAGGAGGCAGGACAAACTGAGCAGACTGCTAAAATACGACATATCCCAAATGCATGGGATCATCACTGGCGCTAGTGATCAGAAGAACAATCATAACAGCGAAAAGACCAGCAAATACAACCTTTTTATTTGAACATCAATACTGGAACTAAACTCATACCGAAAGCCTGTTGAGTATGGCAACGTCGTCAGCTTCACTCGTATACTGGAGCAGCCTCACCAGCTGTGTTGTGTCTGATGTTTGCAATACAGCCGATATAGCTTGCTCGACAGCTAAATTAAAAGTAATTGAAAACTTACTCAGTAAAAAATAACTTGCCGCAAGTATAAATATGGATAACCTTCTGTCCTGCTGGGATTGATGGAGGACTGATTGACATAACCATTAGAAGGAGAATTCCGTCGCCTGTCATACTGCAGAGCAGCTGTAGGCGGAGGCGGACAAGCTGACAATTCCAACTCCTGTCCTTCGAACTGTTGACTCCTTGGATTGTTAGACCGCCTTTCCTTCCTCTGCTTCTTACTCCACAACTCATGACAATCCTAAAGATACAGAAACACGTTGAATTTCTAATATTATTGCACCAGCTCTAACAAATAGCTAACCAAAACGTGAATCTGGTGAGTTATAATATGGACTGCACTTCATATTATAGTTCCACTCCTCTCTGAACTTCAGGGGCCGTATGCTAAATTTGGGAGGGGATGTGAGAATAGCGGAAAGGTTTAGTAGAGGTTCGTCGCAGGACCCGACTGGGCAAACAGTCGTCAGTTCTGTAGCTTTGTTCCATCTTTCACTGCTGCGTTTTTTAGAATTAATAAGTGTATTGACGACGATATACAATAGAAAACAGTAAGAAGAGGAGAAACAAACAGCCGCATAAACAAAGGTGAGGAAGTTGCAAGTGTTCTTCCAACTAACCTCGCCTAACCTTTTCCCATCCCCATCCCATCCCCAATATTCAGCATACGGCCCCAGTTATAGTCTGGAGCCGCGGCAGACGATTTTATAGAACTACACTGTTCTACGTACACCTAATCTTGCAACTTTTCTACCAATATGTTTTTGTAAAGTTTGAACATAAAGTATGTTGGATATGAATCCAACTTTGCACTCAATCCAAATGTGGAATATTTTTTTCATCGTTCTTGAAGTTGCTGTGACACTTTGAGGGAATGCTCTGCAACCAAACTTTCTATTGTTTTTTTTGCATTTTGATTAGAGACCATTACAATTTTTGGGTAAAAGTAATGTACAACGGTGACTGAAGGAATAGCAAATTGTTACAAAACTTATGGAAGCAAAAAAGCCTCCATCACTGTCTTCCTGAAGAAAATAAGCGCCACATCAGAAACACTCAACATTAGCTTACTTAAGGATTTCAAGACGGAACCAACTTTTTCTCCTCACGCGAATTACTCAGAGGTGATAGGTTGTTCTGTTCGGCACAGAGCGAGGCATTTCAAAAACAATTGTATTTTTCTTATTTTCCAATTCTCAATTATGTTTTACTTTAATTTTTCAACTTTTTTTTTCAATTCACCAACTTTTTAGTGAGCTCTAGTCATCAAGTTTTGCAGCCTTAACGTAAAAATAAAACCACTAATGCGATTTTGGAGCTTTACGACTGCTTGGATAAAAGAAGTTCGACGTTAGCTGATTTGCTGATATGAAGAGAGGAAAAAGTAACATAGGCGAACCTGATGTTGAGGCAGTCTTAGCGGAGGAACAGTAGAATAGTCGAAGTTCTTAATCCAGAAATGACTTATGGCATCCTTAGCGGAAATTCGCCGTTTAGGATCCAGTAGCAGCATTTTGTCCATCAAATCTATGGCTCCTGACGGCACCACCCTAAAAGACAAATGGCATCGTGAAAAAGAAAATTCAGGTATTACAACAGTCTGGAGGAACATCCCAGCTGGTGCAGCGGAAAATGCCGACATGAGGTCTATTATATGATTGACAGTAGGTATTTTCTTGACTCTAATATCATAGCAGAAATACATCGCTTCCTTCTCAAACATCATTCGCCACAGAGTGAATGAACAGCCTTAGGCAGCATCTAAGTTGTGCACCAAAATTATGTTCCGGGCGAAATAAAGTTAAACATTGCATGAACACAGGACAGTACTCTCGTGTTCTACGCCGGCTTTTTTTCTATTGCACTGCCTTTCAATTACTTTTCAACCGTCAAAGGTACTGTGAGTTTTCGCAATGTACATTTTGGAAAAACCGGTAGTAATTTCCACCTCGCAATGGCTACTTATTTACTTCACTTTAGTTCCAAATCTGAACGTTGGGCAAACGGCGAATTATTGAATTTATTGCAGCATGTGCATTTCCAGTGAATGTAGCCAAACTCAAAAAGCTGCCCATCGTAAGGAGACTTCTCAAATACGAAATGAACTTACTGAGCAAACTCTTCTCGAAGACACCTGACATACTGCTTCTTACTCCTCAGGGTATTGAAGAGGGGCATCTTCTCGACGTCTGGCCAGTTTGCCGGACTGGGAGTTCCGCAAACCTGAACAAATCTCAAACTAGTAAAACTTCCACTCGGGAAAGGAGGCAGTGGCTTACCCTTGAGATGAGGTCCAGTTG